CAGCGGCTTCATTTGACTAATCCTCCCTCAGGGAATTTATTCCGGTGTGAACGCGATCGGCTCTTTAGTTCATCAGAACTAAAGAGTTCTGATGAACTAAGTACGGCAAAGTACTTGGTGTGAAAGCGCCAAATGATGGGAAAAAGTCCATAAAATCTTGGAAAAATAACTTGTAGGGGTGATTTTGACTCATATTGCCATGCTATTTCAATCATGATAATGGAGGGAATGCACATTTTGCATCATTGTTATTGAAAAATATGATAATATGTAAATACATTCTTTAAAAAGGATCTTTATCAAACTAATATTTCAAAAAAGGGCCAGGATATCTCAGCAAGTCCAAAATAATTGAATAAAACTAGAATTTTAACAACATTTTTGCATTTATTCAAAAAATGTATACGTGTTTCAGGTTAGTCAGAAGCAAAATACAGGAATTTTAAGTCAATTCTACTTAATATTTTTGATTTAAACTAACCTAATAACCCTAATACAATCACGTTAAACAAGTGCACGAAATACATTTTATTAAATTTGCTTTTCGAGTGCTAAATATTGTACATTTAAATATAGCACTATTGTAATTTCTATAAACTGTATTAATTGTGCAGCCAGTATTTCCACGTACAAATCGCCATTTCTTTGCGGCAGATAAAGCCATTTAATGATAGAAATAAGTGCATTTTCCTACACAATAGGTTAAAACAAAGAGCCTTGCTTACAAGACATTAAGCACCTGAACAGATGATGATTTGTAGCGGGAGGAGGGAGAAAAGCCCCCGTTTTGTTTCTCTTCTCCCATCTCCTCCCTTAGCTGTTTACCCACCCCCCACATTTATCTTTTCTCGCTCCATCAGCGACACGGAGACAATAAGAGCGAGGAGGTGTGCGGCATTGATTCGACAGAAGGAGATGCCGGGTACAACGGACAGATAGAGGAGGGGGGGTTTCATGACGAGAGAGAAAGAGGGAGGGAGGGGGTTTAAGAGCACTAGGCTGCTGTTGTTTGCTATGAAAAGGATCCTTGTTGGAGGATCTCTAGTAAAGAGTCCTCTCCTGCTGATGTTCAGGTGTATATCAGTATGTAGTGTCTCTACTTTAAAGAGTCCTCTCCTGCTGATGTTCAGGTGTATATCAGTATGTAGTGTCTCTACTTTAAAGAGTCCTCTCCTGCTGATGTTCAGGTGTATATCAGTATGTAGTGTCTCTACTTTAAAGAGTCCTCTCCTGCTGATGTTCAGGTGTATATCAGTATGTAGTGTCTCTACTTTAAAGAGTCCTCTCCTGCTGATGTTCAGGTGTATATCAGTATGTAGTGTCTCTACTTTAAAGAGTCCTCTCCTGCTGATGTTCAGGTGTATATCAGTATGTAGTGTCTCTACTTTAAAGAGTCCTCTCCTGCTGATGTTCAGGTGTATATCAGTATGTAGTGTCTCTACTTTAAAGAGTCCTCTCCTGCTGATGTTCAGGTGTATATCAGTATGTAGTGTCTCTACTTTAAAGAGTTCTCTCCTGCTGATGTTCAGGTGTATATCAGTATTTAGTGTCTCTACTTTAAAGAGTCCTCTCCTGCTGATGTTCAGGTGTATATCAGTATGTAGTGTCTCTACTTTAAAGAGTCCTCTCCTGCTGATGTTCAGGGTGTACTGTATATCAGTATGTAGTGTCTCTACTTTAAAGAGTCCTCTCCTGCTGATGTTCAGGTGTATATCAGTATGTAGTGTCTCTACTTTAAAGAGTCCTCTCCTGCTGATGTTCAGGTGTATATCAGTATGTAGTGTCTCTACTTTAAAGAGTCCTCTCCTGCTGATGTTCAGGTGTATATCAGTATGTAGTGTCTCTACTTTAAAGAGTCCTCTCCTGCTGATGTTCAGGTGTATATCAGTATGTAGTGTCTCTACTTTAAAGAGTCCTCTCCTGCTGATGTTCAGGTTCATATCAGTATGTAGTGTCTCTACTGTGACATGTCTCCATGCTTTAATGTTCAAAAAGCTCTTTATTGTTCTCATACTGCCTGTGCTGCAGCACCTCTTTTCCCCCTCTGTCTGAAACCAGAGCCCAGTCTGCTCTGATTGGTTAGCTGGACGGCTCTGTTTTGATTGGTCAACATATATAAACACACCACAGAAAACCCAAAAAGCTAAATAGGGCCTCTTTAAAGGATGATCGAGTTATTGGAAAGGAGGGATTTCATGTTCTTGAAGTCAGCGTTTTTTTTTTTAACTTGGAATAAGGTCCGTGGTTAACACAAGCCTACGAGAAGTTCTCGGTATCTTCTACGACATAAAATACGTCAGTAAATACCCCACTGCTGAATGTCTGAATCTTTTATATGTCTGAAAAACAGCAGTTGCTAACAAGTGGCTAATTGAGACTACTAGACGTCATCATGCCAAATATTAACCGCATTTATCTTAGCGGTGGTGACGTGAAGTCATGTGACCGTGCTGTAGTTCCTTTATAGCCCAACATTAGCCTCCTTTAGCTTAGCGGTGGTGACGTGAAGTCATTTGACCGTGCCGTAGTTCCTTTATAGCCCAACATTAGCCACCTTTAGCTTAGCGGTGGTGACGTGAAGTCATGTGACCGTGCGGTAGTTCCTTTATAGCCCAACATTAGCCACCTTTAGCTTAGCGGTGGTGACGTGAAGTCATGTGACCGTGCTGTAGTTCCTTTATAGCCCAACATTAGCCACCTTTAGCTTAGCGGTGGTGACGTGAAGTCATGTGACCGTGCTGTAGTTCCTTTATAGCCCAACATTAGCCGCCTTTAGCTTAGCGGTGGTGACGTGAAGTCATGTGACCTTACTGTATTTCCTTTATAGCCCAACATTAGCCACCTTTAGCTTAGCGGTGGTGACTTGAAGTCAAGTGACCGTGCTGTAGTTCCTTTATAGCCCAACGTTAGCCGCCTTTAGCTTAGCGGTGGTGACGTGAAGTCAAGTGACCGTGCTGTAGTTCCTTTATAGCCCAACATTAGCCACCTTTAGCTTAGCGGTGGTGACTTGAAGTCAAGTGACCGTGCTGTAGTTCCTTTATAGCCCAACGTTAGCCGCCTTTAGCTTAGCGGTGGTGACGTGAAGTCATTTGACCGTGCTGTAGTTCCTTTATAGCCCAACATTAGCCACCTTTAGCTTAGCGGTGGTGACGTGAAGTCATGTGACCGTGCGGTAGTTCCTTTATAGCCCAACATTAGCCACCTTTAGCTTAGCGGTGGTGACGTGAAGTCATGTGACCGTGCTGTAGTTCCTTTATAGCCCAACATTAGCCACCTTTAGCTTAGCGGTGGTGACGTGAAGTCATGTGACCGTGCTGTAGTTCCTTTATAGCCCAACATTAGCCGCCTTTAGCTTAGCGGTGGTGACGTGAAGTCATGTGACCTTACTGTATTTCCTTTATAGCCCAACATTAGCCACCTTTAGCTTAGCGGTGGTGACTTGAAGTCAAGTGACCGTGCTGTAGTTCCTTTATAGCCCAACGTTAGCCGCCTTTAGCTTAGCGGTGGTGACGTAAAGTCAAGTGACCGTGCTGTAGTTCCTTTATAGCCCAACATTAGCCGCCTTTAGCTTAGCGGTGGTGACGTGAAGTCATGTGACCTTACTGTATTTCCTTTATAGCCCAACATTAGCCACCTTTAGCTTAGCGGTGGTGACTTGAAGTCAAGTGACCGTGCTGTAGTTCCTTTATAGCCCAACGTTAGCCGCCTTTAGCTTAGCGGTGCCTAACGTTAGATTTTTACTTCTGCCTATTTTCCATTTAGGCTTAAAAAAAAATCATAAAGTGTTGTTAATATGTGGAAATGATCCTGCTGAACAAAATATGCAAGTATCATAAAAGTGTGTTTGCCATTTATTTCCTACAATATCCCCAAATCCAAAGTAAAAAATCCCATAATCTTTTTGTCGAGGGAACCCTAGCAATGCTAACTTTTGAGTGTCCTCATTAAATCCCTCTTCTTGCAGGATTCATCGATGCAGATAGCAGCGAGAGTGGAAGACAGAGAGGAGACAGTAATCAGAGGCTAAATCCACTCAGTGCACGACTCTCCGGAGACTTTGCTGACACATCAGATCCACCCGCATCTCTCCAAAGGTATTAAAGTGACGATGCTTCACTACCTCCCACCTCCCATCGTCATCTGTTTCCTTCCCCATTCCCTCGTGAGCTAGTCATGGCTCCCGGTCGGAAAAGGCAGATGTGAGGAGACAGGTTCCTCCTAAAAAACGCCTGAAGCTTTCACACATTTTTTATTTACCCTGCCAGAATGACAAAGCATAATGTGTTGGTGTTCACAGTATCAGAGTGTTTAGAGGGTTGTATTTGCTTGCATGTCTCACATTATCCTGCTTTATTACAGTGTATGACATCGCTTGTAAGAGACAAGGTGATTTTTCTCAAAGTTTCCCTATATTTTTCCTCAAAGGTGTACATTTGGAGTCAAAACTTTTGCATTTTTGTCCATTAAAAGTACAGTAATGCTAATGGAAAAGTATGTTTTTACTGAGTTTTGAATTTAAGCTTAATATGAAACATTTACAACAATAATAATAACAATAGATTACATTTGTATAGCGCCTTTCAAGGGACCCAATGCCGCTTTACATGGTGAACAAACAAACAAACAAATAAGAAAGTAAAAAAATTAAAATGAATGAATAGTAACAGTAATTGCGTACTGTCACTTTAAGAGATCGTCTCCTGCCACATCTACTCTCAGTGGATTTTACCTGAGATAAACATTGCTTGCCATTTCTTTAATACAGACTTAATAAAACCGTTTTATTTCTATTTTGAGATGTTTATATTTTAGAATTATTTGTATTTCTACTCTTTTAAATTTGTCATTATGTGCAATGCCTTTCCCAAAATGTCCCAAATTGGGATTCATAACTACATCACATAGTCGCGTGTAGGAGTTGATGATCAGCTAGATTTAATTTCTGCTGCTACTGTGTTGTTGGAGGTTTTGTTTATAAATTAACTTTCTGTTCCTCTTACCAGACGGGATCGGCGTTGACCACATGATCGAACCACAGGATGTACAGACAGAACAAACCCACGATCAGAGCGTGCACAGTCGACACCAACCTGCAAATACACAAACAAAAAACATATTAAACAAATTGTAAACATGATGACAGATCAATAGTTCAGTTTACAGTCAGTGGATTTGATCAATAATCCCTTAAAATTGTGAATGGGGGGGGGGGGGGGGGGGGTTGGACTTCTTCTCTCTTGTTGAGTACAGTGTAATTGATCACATCAATGTTATCCATGCCACGTGGCGGTGACTCCCTCTTTATCCTGATATAGTATGACCTCTGACCTTTGGAGTGTTTATCTGGGCCACTGAGCGGATACTCAGAGGCTCTTATCTCTCGATGCAAGAATCAAAGTTCCTCAACTGTCAACATGCCGCCTCCGAGGGGACAGAAACCCCCGAAAGACCCTGGCTCTTTGCCGTTAATAACTGTGCAATATATACTAGGGATGGGAATTTGAAAGCAAATTTATATTAGAATATTGGATCCCCAAAAAAATGATAATACATTTTCAAATATAGAAACCAAACCAAGTTTTCTTTGATATTTTTCTTAAAGGTTTCCTATCATGCTATTTTTAGGCATAAATCAGGGTATATGCAGGAATCCTTAAGTCAAATGTAAGATATTTTAAGACCTTTTTTAAGACCCTTTCCATACATTTTAAGACCTCATCGCCACTTGGAGTTTTAACCGGTTACCTTGGCGACACACTTTACCTCACATTGACTATATACAGTATTGATTGTCCTTCCTCCTTATCTTCCAACCATTTGGACGCAGACTTGCATTTCCCCATAACGATGTTGTTTAACAACCGGCGTAAACGGACCTTCGCGCGCTATCAAGCAGTGAGCGTGCGATGTCCTGTTCAGATGACGTCAGATCCAACGGGATGCCATAAATAAACTACACAGAATCACACTACACACCTACGCAATGATTACATTCAGGCAGACTTTAGAATACAACCTCTTTGGACAATTTATATACTTATTGAAAACAAGCTACAAAATGTAATACCTTGGAAAATGCCGTTTAATACTTTTTAATAGCCTTGATTTTCGCTAAATTGATTGATCAACTTTTAATACTTTTTAAGACCCCGCGGACACCCTGTAAAGGTATTATTATTCAGATTCAGACCCTCAGCCCCTCAGTGACTGCATGAGTCCATTTTTACCACTGAATCAGAGCGAAGTGTCTAAAAATGGAACGGACTCGGAGGAACTTGGCTAAAGGAAGTGGGAAAGAACTTTAATATAGCCGTGTGTGTAGGTTATGTTACCGCTCATGCAGCCACTCTCCGGTTGTTATTTTGGTATGTTGTATATATAAATAAACAAATGCACGCGATTACTTTAACTACTAAGGTTCATATGAGTGTTTTTAAATTGGACATTTAACTTAAACTTCCTAAATTATATAAATATGTGTATTCAATTTGATCTTTTATTTGACATTTTACTTCTTTTGTTTATTGATTATTAAATATTATTATTAATTGTATTTTTTATTGGACATCACATTTACATTTTGTATGTTTATATAAATCATTTTGGTAATTTATTTTCTTTTTTCTTTATATAATGTTTTTAAATACATTCTATACATTTCTTATTGGACATTATACTCTAACCTTTGGTGTTTGTATAACTAATGAAGCTCAGTGCAAGTTCAACCAGGACGACCTTCTTTACTCATTCATTTACTATTCCTATGTTACTACTCTCTCTCCTCTCAATAAGTGATCGGGGGCGTCACTCCCCAGCTAACCAATCACTTCGCTCTATTCTCACAAGCCTATCATAGCGCTCTGCTAACCCTTTTAACTCTGCTCTCCCCCCTCTGACAGCTGTCATTTCAGGTGACCCGACGCAACCCTCCTCCACCCCTTTTCACCTCCTGTCCCTCTGAATCCAGGGTCAAGCTAAGCCACTCCCCTTCAGACCGACCCCAACTATCCATTCACCACCACCAGGGTCAAGCTAAGCCACTCCCCTTCAGACCGACCCCAACTATCCATTCACCACCACCAGAGTCAAGCTAAGCCCCTCCCCTTCAGACCGACCCCAACTATCCATTCACCACCACCACCAGGGTCAAGCTAAGCCACTCCCCTTCAGACCGACCCCAACTATCCATTCACCACCACCACCAGAGTCAAGCTAAGCCACTCCCCTTCAGACCGACCCAAACTATCCATTCACCACCACCAGGGTCAAGCTAAGCCCCTCCCCTTCAGACCGACCCCAACCATCCATTCACCACCACCAGGGTCAAGCTAAGCCACTCCCCTTCAGACCGAACCCAACTATCCATTCACCACCACCAGTGTCTAGACCCCGGGGAGTTTCATTGGATCGGGTCTCCCCTCCCGAATGATACTCCTGCACAACGGGGCCTAATCGCCAAAACTCCATTACATTCATTTGTGTATTCCTGGCAATAAATATGTGTTCTTACATCAACACGTCTCTCCTGATTGAATTGTTGTGAAATGAAGCAGCTCTCATAAAACCCAATTTCCCCCGGGATAAATAAAACATCCCGACTCCGTTTCTCTCGTTTGCATTGAGAGGTCCCTCCTACATACACTTGTAGAAACCATTGATTGCACGAAAAGAGAGTGCAGACAACAACAACAACAACAACAACAGTCTTTTAGATTATGCAGCCGCGCTCGATACCAGACCGGCTGCCTCTCTTTCTTTGGGAAAGCTTTCTCTCTGCTCTCCTTGCACTTAAGTCGTTGTTACATAAACATCAGACTGTCACACTGAGAGCAGCGTTACGCAACCGCTCTCTGAAGTAAACCATCAGCGCCTGGCCTTTGCATTTCAGTCCACAATACTTTCAAAATAAGGACACAAAGGCAATTTTGAGCTATATGAATGAAAGCTGAGTCACAACGAGAGAGAGAGAGAGAAGCATATTGAATTGAGGACAGAGAGAGAGAGAGACAGACATATTGAATTGAGGAGAGAGAGAGAGAGAGAGAGAGAGAGAGAGACATATTGAATTGAGGAGAGAGAGAGAGAGAGAGACATATTGAATTGAGGAGAGAGAGAGAGAGACATATTGAATTGAGGACAGAGAGACATATTGAATTGAGGAGAGAGAGAGAGAGGAAGAGAGACATATTGAATTGAAGACAGAGAGATAGGGAGAGAGAGAGAGACATATTGAATTGAGGACATATTGAATTGAGGAGAGAGGGAGAGAGAGAGAGACATATTGAATTGAGGAGAGAGAGACATATTAAATTGAAAGGAGAGAGAGACATATTGAATTGAGGACATATTGAATTGAGGAGAGAGAGAGAGAGACATATTGAATTGAGGACAGAGAGACATATTAAATTGAAAGGAGAGAGAGAGAGACATATTGAATTGAGGACATATTGAATTGAGGAGAGAGAGAGAGAGGGACATATTGAATTGAGGAGAGAGAGAGAGAGAGGGACATATTGAATTGAGGAGAGAGAGAGAGAGAGAGAGAGAGAGACATATTGAATTGAGGAGAGAGAGACATATTACATTGAAAGGAGAGAGAGAGAGACATATTGAATTGAGGAGAGAGAGAGACATATTAAATTGAGGAGAGAGAGAGAGACATATTAAATTGAGGAGAGAGAGAGAGACATATTAAATTGAGGAGAGAGAGAGAGAGAGAGAGAGAGAGAGATAAAAGAAGCTAATAACTAAGAGTCATTCTTAGAGACCAAAAGAAAAGTGCTTCTCAGAGAGTCTTTATATCTTTATGCTTTCTGCCGGTGAATCCCTAACATCTAGAGATGAAATGTTTAGTGATTAATACACACAGTATTTTGTGAAATATCTGTTCCTACATGACAACGTTTAGGAGATGGTTAGCACATTGCATCCATGGTTTAAAACGCTACAACAAAATGTTGTTGTTTGTTGAAAAGCTCAGAGAAATGTGTTTTACACTTTGGGAAATAAGCGTATTAACTCCCTTTCCAATAGTAAAAAGGGTTGATTACTATTGACAACAAATGAAGCTGGAGATAGCGGTTTAGCATAGCTTACGACAAAGACTGGAAAAAGGGGGAAGTGAGCTTCAGAGGAGCGGCAAGGTGGAGTTTTGTTAGTAAAAGGAGCTCATAACTAAGAGTCTGTGAGAGATGTTATGTAACTACGAGTTCTTGTTGGCCTCTGAACTCCACCCTGAGGGTTTCTTAAAGTACAGCTGTGCATGTGAGGAATGATGATGAGCTGTCCAGAGGCACGTCAGGGGCCATCTTTAAAAAAGAGGTGACGGAAAAGTGCTATTCTGGGGGCGTCGTGGCAACACTTCTAACACTTCCTGTACGAGTGAGCATCGAAAGAAAACTTTTAAAATTCACTTTTTTATTGATTTAAACCAGGGGTGTCCAAACTTTTTTTTTCTCCGAGGGACACATACAGAAAAATATACGAAGGGCTGGGCCGCTCACAGGAGGTTTATCGCCTTATCAGTTCAGCTATAAGTTAGCAAAACCAATCAAATGTAGGTTAGTTATGCTTGATACTTTAAAAAAACAGCTTAAATCAAAGCTCTCCATACGGTTTAATACATTTTTTGGGCAGTTCATTCCTTAAAATGGAAGCCTCAGATTGCTTATAATCACTCCACCTGATCCTGGGTGTGGCATCATTATCTGGTGTTATCATTACCTGGTGTCATCATTGCCAGGTGTTATCATTGCCAGGTGTTATCATTGCCCGGTGTTATCATTGCCAGGTGTTATCATTGCCAGGTGTTATCATTGCCCGGTGTTATCATTGCCAGGTGTTATCATTGCCAGGTGTTAAGGCCGCTACACACCCACCTGAGACCAAAGAACGCGTACCGAAGGCGTCCCGACTTTTACGTCAGCTACGCCGCCCGCCTACGAACACACCGCAAATACTTCAGTCGACGAGTGGCAATAACTGTCCTTACCAGCAGGCAGCGGTAGTGTGAACAGCCAATCAGAGTGATTGCTTGGGCCGACTTTCTCTGACCTTTGTTTGCGGTGATAACTATTTATATAAATAAGTAGATTGCAAGATGACAAACAGGAATGTTTATCGGGGCTCTTGTATCCACTATCTTGTTCTTTCGGTCATGCCCTAATCACATATAAAGTGTGAAAGAGAGGTGTGTGTGTGTGTGGCCTAGCATTACTATACTTGTGGGGACCTAAATCTGTTTACACAGTCACGTGTGGGGACTCGCCTCCCTTATGGAGACAAAATGGAGGTCCCCATGAGGGGAATCATTAATTTTAGGGTGAAGACTTGGTTAGGGTTAGGCATGTGTTGGTTATGGTTGAGGTTAGGATAAGTCTCCAGGAAATGCATGTAAGTCAATGTAATGTCCCCTGAAGTGATGTATACATGGTGTGTGTGTGTGTGTGTCTCACCTGGAGTTCCACTCTGTGTGTTTGTTGAGAGGAAGCCGTCCATACCCCGGCGTGATGATCCAGGAGAGGTGAGGGCTGGCCACCGAGAAGAGAAGCTGGAAACCCACGAAGCTGCCAGCGACCACGGTCAACTCTCTCGTCTCCATCACTCACCTAAACACCCGACAGAGGGGGAGACAGGAGGGGGGGGGGGAGGGGGCAGGAGAGGGCGGTACACAAGGACAGGTTCAAATCGATGACTATCAGTCATCCTGAGAAACGGAGGCGGCGGTAGAAGTGGATATAGCGCTTTTCCTGGTGCTCAAAGTAAAGAAGAAACAAAATAACAACAAACGTAAAAAGTGCTAAGCTAGGTGGAATAAGGGCGAGGGGTTAGAGCAGGGGTGTCAAACTCAATTTCATCTCGGGCCACATTAGCATCATGGTTGCACTCAAAGGGCCAGTTTTATATATATAAGACTATATAAAAATACATATATAAATATTTAATATATATAAAATAATGTATTATATTACATTATTGCCTCTGCATTGGATTATTATCGGATAGGGTAATAACTTAGTAATTAACTACGTCTGAAAGCAGAAGTCTAGGGCAAATAATTGCAAGTCTCTTCAGTGAGCATTTAACAAAGTGATTTAAAAAGAAAAGCCAAATTCTGGAGAAAAAAAAAATGACATTTTGAAAAAAAAGTAACATTTTGAAAAAAAAATCAGATTCTGAGAAAAAGGCAAATTCTAAGAAAAAATGAATATTTTGAAGAAAAATATGAAAATAAGAAAAAAAGGCAAATTTGAGATGCATTGTGGGACATGTAGTTTATGGGCAACGTGCTTCTGTAAATCGGCATCTCACCGTATAATATACATATTATATTCTTTGCAAGCTCTTGTGGGGCCACAGAAAATGAAGTCACGGGCCGGATTTGGCCCCCGGGCCTTGAGTTTGACACCCCTGGGTTAGAGGATTGGGAGTTGAAGGCAAAAGTGAAAAAGGTGAGATTTGAGGGATTGTTTGAATAATGCGAGCGTGTTGGCAGATCTGACGTTTTTTTTATTTTGTTGATTAAGCGGTCTTTGGCTCCTTCCTGCTGTAACAACGTACATTTCCCCTCTGTGGGACGAATACACATATTGTGATTGTGATTCTGTGAAGCTGGCACCCTGTGTGGTTCATCCAGTCCACAAAGAGAGAGAGAAAGGGGGGAGAAACAGGAGGTGGGGGGGAGAAAATGTCCAAGCCTGTCTAATGCAAGTGACATGAGAGATTTAGACAAGCTTACAGAGAGGGGAAATGAAACAGTCGAGGAGAAAGAGTGGAAGAGTTATTGCTGTGAATAGTGAATACGGTGGAACAGCATTCACATGTGGAATTAAAGGACTCCATTTATTTGCATATTTTGCAACGGGATTACAGAAGCGATTTGATTGGAGCAAAGCAGAAATCCCTGAGAAGAAAACAAAGGCTGAGCTAAAAGAAAAGAGGATTGTCCAGATGGAGCGATAAGTTCAGCTCATGAGAAATAAGACTGTGGAATACGTTCTTAGTCTGTATTTGACTGAAAAGATGCACGTCTGTCGACTAGGGCTGTGCGATTATGGCAAAAATCATAATCACGATTATTTGGGTCAATAATTGATATCACGATTATTAAATACGATTATTCATTGACTTTGAAAACATCCATTTAATGAACTTTAAAACAAATACAAATAATAATTTGAACAGTATATTTGTAACTGTTGATTACCCTGAACGTATAATTCAACTGAAAAACCAATACACAAATAAATAAAATAAATGATACATTTAAATAAATATCATCAAAATAATAAATACCAATAAACAAGATCAACAAATATTTTTGGAGCGCACTTCCCCAAGCTACTAAACATATATAAATATGATAAATACAAATAAATGAGACCAAAATTAATTAGATAAAATATGTTGCAGTGACACAACCTAGCAAAGCAAAATAATTGTTTTTTCCGATTATGTTGTTTTCGTAATTGTGGCAGGCCAAAATCGTAATTGCGATTAATTGCACAGCCCTAGTATCAACTGTACATAATGGTGCAGGAATGAGTCCTAAAACCCAGAAATGTGTTAGCATTTTAGTCTGTATTTGACTTACAAGATGCACGTCTGTCGACCCTTTTCTAGGTTTAAATCATCTGTTTGCCGGTGACACTGTCATTTATCTCACAGATTTATTTCAGTTTCATAAGTACTTACTTCAACAATGTTTATTTGCCCTTATCTATGTTTGTGTCAACTGTATAAAAAGGTGCAGGAATGAGTCCTAAAACCCAGAAATGAGTTAGCATTTTGTCTCAAAGTTTAGTGAACGTGTTTTTGATAAGAAGCCTTAAAATAAGGTCTGTGGTTAACACTTTTAATACATCAGTAAATACCCCACTGGCGAGTGTCCAATGTTTATATGTGGCTTTAAAACATCAGATGCTAACAAGTGTCTAAATGAGATGACTAAACGTCAACACGCTAACATTAGCCGCCTTTAGCTTAGCATCATGTGACCGTTCTGTAGTTCCTTCATAGCCTAGCGTTAGCTTTTTACTACTGGAGATAGCATTGATGCTTCTAAAATCATACAATGGTGTTAAAATGTGGAGATAATCCTGCTCAACAAAACGTGTAAGCGTCAGGAATGTGTGTTAGCCACAGAGCTTATTTTATGCAATATTCTGAAATCCAATAGTAAAAGCCCGTTGCTTTTTAATCACAAGAACCATGTGATGCTAACTTTTTGGTGAGACTGCTAAAAATACATCATACCTGCATCATATTTTACGTCCCTTATTGATGACACTCCAATGTATCTCACAGATGTAGGTATTATCTGATCATTCTGCTGCTCTGTACAAGAAGGGACAGAGCAGACTCTTTCTGCTGAGGAGACGGAGGTCTTTCGAGGTGCAGGGGGCACTCCTTCAGACATTTTATGACTCTGTTGTGGCATCAGCCATTTTCTATGGTGTGGCCTGCTGGGGCAGCAGCATCTCGGTTGCTGACAGGAAGAGACTGAACAGACTGGTAAGGAAGGCCAGCTCTGTCCTGGGGAGTCCTCTGGACACTGTGGAGGTGGTGGGAGACAGGAGAATGGCAGCCAAGCTGTCCTCCCTGCTGGACAATGTGTCCCACCCCCTCCAGGACACCCTGTCCTCACTGTGCAGCTCCTTCAGTGACAGGCTGCTGCACCCCCGCTGTCTCACGGATACCGCAGGTCTTTCCTTCCTGCAGCAATCAGACTATACAATCAGCACAGCCCCTAGTAACACACACACACACACACACACACACACACACACACACACACACACACACACACACAACACACACACACACACACACACACACACACACACACAACACACACACACACACACACACACACACACACACACACACACACACACACCACACACACACACACACACACACACACACACACACACACACACACACACACACACACACACACACACACACATCACACACACACACACACACACACACACACACACACACACACACACACACACACACACACACACACACACACACACACACACACACACACACACACACACACACACACACACACACACACCACACACACACACACACACACACACACACACCACACACACACCCACACACACACCACAATGTGCAATATATAAATGCCGTTAATAACTGTGTAATATATACCTGGCTGCTAAATCTGTAGAACTGTTACAGGATGTAACTTAGTACTTTTTTTTTTTTTTAATGCATGTAACATATGTAACATATGTAACATTAAGCTGTCTGTGGCTCTTTGTCCTGCTGTAACTACGCAAACGTCCCCTCCGTGGGACTAATAAAGGTATTCTGATTCTGATCTGACAACAAACACGGGCGTGGTATGTAGAGGACGTGGAAGCAGCTGACTGTAGAACACATGCTTATGCTCAGGAAGAGATCTGTTTACTCTCACTCAGGTCAACAAACGACAGGCCTGTGTTTTCACATCCGAGGCAATCAGTGGACTGAAATAGCCCCATTGAAAACAGGAAAACAAGTTTGATCAAATGCCTTTTAAGCCTCAGTGAAATGACAAAATGATTAACTCATGGTAGATTGAAGTAACTGCTCTGATTGTAGTCTTTTATGATGTTGACAAAACAACATTCTGACTTTCCAGGGTCTCTGTTTTTCTCTGGGTAGCGCTGGAGTATTAGGACTAATCAGGGAAATGTACCCTTACATCTAAGATATAGAAATTAAGGGGCAAGTAAAGTAGTCCGAGCCATTTGTGGTCTTCAACTCCGACTGAGGAACAGAAACAGCCTGACATTGAAAACACTTTGTTACTCATTTCCATTTTTTGTTATGTCTGCAGATAAAACTAAAACGTCTGGCTTTTTTGTTTAGCTTCCAACCGTCTGCCTATTCACATCTGCACTTACAGAAATTGGCCATATAATAGAGCATAGAGTTATTGAAATGTTAAATGGGAAACACAATAAGTAATAGTGCAATATCGAAAGGCAAAATATGTAAACAATTATCTGAATGATGTCCGACATTCGAGCAGAAAATAAAATCCTGGTTTGGTACAGATCCTCTGGAAAATAAGTAAATAAACACACCATGAGCATTTGTATCTATTTCTCAACGATAATGTGAATAATGTTTGAACAATTATCATTTCTGCGACGCCATATTGTTCAATTGGTAAATTAAAAAAATAAATAATACTAATTAAAATTAAAAATTAAGTCGATCCTCATCTAGGGCTGCTCAATTAATCGTATTTTAATCGCAATTACGATTTTGAATTGCAACGATTTTGAAAACAACATAATCAAAAAAAAAAATGTAATTGGTTTTTCAGTTGAATTATACTTAAAGGTTAGGGTAATCAACTGTTCAAAACATACTGTTCAAATGGTTTTTCCCAATAAATGGATGTTTTCAAAGTAAATGGATAATCGTTATGAATAATCGTGATATCAATTATTGACCCAAATAATCGAGATTATGATTTTTGCCATAATCGAGCAGCCCTATCCTCATCATGACCTCTCACTTGTTCTTTAGGAACGTAAATCTGTTGCGACACACCGTGCATACGTTGTCCTGGACTCTGGCCTGAGAAACGTACTGACTCTCAGATTAAAGACATTACACAAGCCATTTAAAACCACTTATTCCAGGAGGCTATTAGGAAAGCAGGAAACCTCATATTATAATGTAGTGATACATGTTGGGAAGGCCTTCTGTTTCGCAAAGACACTCACGTCATTCAGCCTATGGAAAGGCACATGACACTTCAGGAATGCAGCCTACATTAAGTTCTATTTTTACACTTAAAAAATGTCCAAAGTCATGCATGCATACTGTTCTGTCAGACACAAGGAAACAAAAGCACCCCCCCAAGACAAAGTGCCACCAACAAAACACAACATGTGAAATAATGCCGTGAAGATTATATCTTTGCAACCAGAGGCAATCTCCAGAACAATGTTACAGAGCTCGAAGAAGTCCTCAGGCTTTTCACTCAAGTAAACGTCCGTCAAAGTACAAAAGTATTGGCAATAAAATATACTTAAAGTACCAAAACTCAAAGTATATTATAAGAGTAACGGCCCGTTTCAGAATCATATATATTACTGGATTCTGATTAATGTGTTCATCACAGCTGGTGGAGGTGCAGCTAATGTAATTAACTTGTTATACTACTGTTGGGTGTAACCTATAATTATATGTCAATGTGTTTATTTAGAAGTTGATTTATAGTTTGAATTAGTTTATAATCTGAATCGGGAAAGTGTAGTGGAGTAAAAAGTACAATATTAGCCTAAGAAATATAGTGGATTAGAAGTATAAGTAGCATACAGTTAAAATACTCAGGTAAAGTACCTCAGCATTGTACTTGAGTACTTCATAACATCCCAACACTGCAATTTCCACTTCAGCTTAAAAATATATTTCTGATAGATTATGAACCGTACGGGTATGCTCTCCGTTCAGTTATTATGCTCCAATAACGGTCACCTCTTTCAAATCAAGATTTTTCCTTTTGCCGCCGCCTTTTTATAAATCAAATAACTATTCAAGTCTTACCCTGCACTGTATGTTTTATTCTTGTAATATATACACGTCTTCTTCCATTTGAGCTTTGTCTTATTGGGATTATTTTAGCTTTTTTAATGACTGTTTTTGAAATGCACTTAAATAACGTGTCATTATGCTTGTGTTTTTTTTGTAAAAGCACTTTAAATTGTCTTGATACACACATAAATTGCCTTGCCTTCAGAATCAACAAAGAAATGGATCATAATAGATGGGATTTCTGACAACTTCCTAATACAGGTTTCCCACAAATCAGAGCATCTGTAAGACAGGCCACCCCCTACTCCATTATCCATTTCAATTCTCAAAGACAGTTGCATCACCAGGGATTCCTCCTCCACCTTTTTCTTTTTTTTGTCCCCAGCAGCTATGCTCTTTCCCCGGGCCACGTTGATCATATGCAGCGTGTTCCTGAATAATTCATGGGCATTCTTCACCTGGCAGGCTGCTTCACACTGCCCCATGGGGAGAGACAGCACACACACACACACACACACACACACACACACACACACACACTCACACACACTCCTCACTGCGGCTGACAGCCCGGACAGGAGAGCTGCTCTGCCGTCCACATTTGACCTTGTTTCGCCGGACTACATCTTGCTGCTGTCAGCAAACCGTGACCCCGTGACATATCGACCAAACATAAATAAAAAAGCGGTTCAATTTCTCCCTCTGTTCTTCTGGAAATCTACACCGGCCTCGGTCTGTAATCAATGTACCGCATTGCTACACCATTGCATTGCTTCAAGGCGCAAATCTTGCCCAGCCTGATCTGAAGAATCTCTGCAGGCAGGCAGGCAGGATGGGTCATGACATGAATACTGATAATTAAGTGCTGATTACATTCCTTTTATCGGACAGAGGTGTTAGCAAGTTAGCCTGCAGACTCTCTTATAGCACAGTGACAACTGGCAAGTGAAAGGCAAAGTCAAAGCAGCTGAAATTGGCTTTTTATTCTACTTATAAATGGAAATTATTGCACAGAGGGAGATGCTAACAGGTTAGCATAAACTCAGCATCTTGTGCTGCTTTTAGCAAAGTAGCAACTGAGATTATTGCCCAATTTATCAGATGAAAATGTTAGCAGTTAGCATGACAACTCAAGAGTATTGTGCACCTTATAGCACAGTGAACTACAAAGGTTTGGTCATGACTATATACTGATAAATGACTGGTGAGTATTGTGCACCCCATAGCACAGTAACAACGTTGGGGTGAAATGCAAAGTAAAAGTAGCTGTAATTGGCTAGCAGAGGTTAGCACATATACTCAGTATCTTGTGCACCTTTTAGTGAAGTAGTAACTGAGTTTATTGCCCAATTAATAAGACATAAATGTTCCCAGTTAGCATGCAAACTCAAGGGTATTGTGCACCTTGTAGCACAGTGAAATGCAAAGGTTGGGTCATGACTATATACTGGTAAATTACTGGTGATAGCTGCCCTTTTAGCAAAGGCACTCTGAGAGTGTCGTGTATTTGAAGCTAATGCTCCAGCACTTAAAACGCTTTTTGAAAGGAAATGTACTTGCAGGTTTCTTGCTGTTTTGATTTTGTATCTATACGTCTGATTGCACTTTGGGTAAATGCAATGTAATGTATGTGAAGGAGTAGCAGTGGTTAGCCACCTAGCATGTTAGCATATACACTCAGCATCTTGTGCACCTTATAGCCAAGTAGCAACTGATATTAGCAGTTAGCATGATGCACCTTATAGCACAGTGAAAGGCAAAGGATGGGTCATGACTATATTCAGTTTGGTTTATTTGAAGCTAATGCACCAGCAATTAAAAATAGCTTTTTGTAAGGGGATGTACTTGCAGATTTCTTGCTATTCTGAGTCTGTATCTATATGTGTGATTGCACCTACAATATGTCGCTTTGGGTAAATGTAATGTGAAGGAGTAGCAATAATTGGATACCTAAAACTAGTGATAATTGCCCTTTAGTCGGACATACTCAGAGTATGTTGCACCTTGGAGCACAGCAGCATTTGGTTCATTTGAAGCTAATGCACCAGCATATAAAATGGCTTATTGAAAGGGATGTACTTGCAGGTTCTTGCTGTTCTGAGTTTGTATATTTATGTATGGCTGATTGCACATATTGTGAGTATAATGTAATGTGAAGGAGTAGCAGTAATTCGCTACCCCTCCTTGATAAATCTATTATGCTTTGCAGTAAAGGTGGAAACACAGTGAGGCACTGCAGGGGGAATGGTGACTCAAATACAGGCCACGTTATCAATAAGGGTTACCTAGCTTTAAAATACTGATATATATATCAACAAGGAGCCAAAATAAGATAATACGCAATCCCTTTTTTCGCACCTTGATGCTAAAGCTACGTATGCTGTTGTTGACGAAGCCCAAGACCCGTACGGTAAAGAAAAATGTCGTAAAAAATAATAATGTGAAATAAACACAACAAAAGAGGATATTTGATGAGATGGAAAGCAGTACAAGGAGAGCTGTGTTACCTGTTATCCGTCGCATAGGTCTGTGTAGGCGGATAAAGCTCCCGTTTAGCCTCCGTCTTCTCCACTTTCTTTACGTTAGCTAGCAAGTCGGCTAAAGTGATACCCGCTCGCGACCCCCGGAAAGAACAGAGAGAAAAAGCCTCGCGCACAACGCCGGGTGCCAAACACCATTACACCCGGAAGTAAATAAGCTTTTTTTTAATCTAAGCTGTATTTTCTTTCACTGCCATGTGTTTCCAGGACCGAGAGAAAAGTTTTATCTCGTTTTATTTTGGCTTTCACAGTATAAGGACCAACCGGTGATGTCTATACGTTGCCACCCCTTTGCACACGCCCCCCCTCCCCCCAAAGAGAGAGAGGCGACACCCACAATGAACAAAGACCATATGCAATATTTAGTCTTTTATTTAACAGAGGCATTAAAGGTCCCATGTCATGGCCATTTCTACTGATCATATTTCCATTGTTGAGGTCTACTAGAATAGATTTAAATTGTGCAATTTTCCAAAATTACATTGGTTTCTCATACAGCATCTCTGTATAGTATGTGTATTCACCAGGTATTCACTCTGTCCTAAACGGCTTGTTGGAGCTCCTGCCCCCCCTCCCTGTGAGCCCAGTGTGCTCTGATTGGTTGGGACGTTGCGAGGCTCGTTGCTGCTCGCCGCTGCTGCGAACTGCTGCGAGGAGCGGACAGGTTTCCGGGTCGGCGATACAGCGAGAACAAGCGAAACTCATCCTGAGCACACACAAACACTCACGGCCCGTCCACACAGCAGCGTTAAAAACATCTTCCAACGCTTCTGCCCATTCACTTTGCCTCACTTTTCGCCGAACTGCATTGTGGGAAGCAAAGCGGAGATTTCCAGGCATCTCAGGCTTCAAAAGTTGAGCAATGTTCAACTTTTGAAGCTGAGGTGGAAGCATCAGCCAATCAAATCCCGTTTATGCAAATCTGACAGTACAAGCGCTAGCCAATGAAACCGCGTGTATGCTGGGAGAGACATACCGCAGGTCATTTCCTCATATTCCAAAAAATGGAGGAGAAATTAATTATAGCGGTAGGGAATCACCCGGTGCTTTATGACCAGTCCCGATTTACCTACCGGGATACAAACCGGAGGAGCCAGGCATGGCGGGATGTGGCAGAGACAGTGGTAGGTTTTCGCCTGTTTGGGGAGTTTATATCCAGTTTACTTCGGGCTTTTTTGCTTTGTATGTCGGGGGTGGGAGATTCATGTGATTGGTTGTTGGTCGCGTTGCTCGCAAAAAATCCCCAAGCTTCAGATACGCCCACCTCCAAGATGTTTTTAACGCTGCTGTGTGGACTTACCGTCACAGCCGAAGTAAAAACAATAAGTGTGGCTTGATATTGAGTAAGAAAAAGGTTTATAACGCTGTGAGCATGGGTCTGCGGAGAGCATTTCTCCGCGATCCCAACTCGGCTATTACCAGTGTTCAGAGAGCTCTATGCAAGTCAATAGGCACGTTCACACCGCAGTACTTTTCCCACTTTAGTTCCGATATAGTTCAGAAATGTTGCGTTCACACCAAAAAAATCCGGAACTAAAATTAGTTAATGAGAACCTTTTTACCCCCTTTTCCATCCCTGCTAGAGAGCAGGGACTTTCGTGGGAGAAAAAGGTTCCTATTTCTGATTGGCTGGGCGGATTGCAAACCACGCCCCGTAAAACTCCCAACAAGTTTTGTGAAGCCGCCATTTTATTATCCTCGCATTAGCATTATTAGCATTAGCATTAGCCCAGCGCACAAACGCAGAGAGACTAGCTTATGGCAACACAAAAGAAAACATGGGAGCGGTGGAGATGAGGAGGTGTCGGCGTTCTGGCGATTTACTCGGAAGGCTTCAGTAGAAGCTGCTGGGAGTCCCAGCAGCTTCTACTGAAGCCAGTCCCCAACTCCGGGGACTTCCGGCCGGGGACTTCGGGTGGCAGTATACGCCGTGAAGTTGTTTGCGGCCTGCCAGTAAACCCAAAGCAGAAGAAGAAGAAGTGACGTCAGAGGCTTCATTTGCCTAATCCTTCCCCAGGAACTTATTCCGGTGAGAACGCGATCTGTACTAAGTTCATGAGAACTAAAGAGTTCTCATGAACTAAGTTCTCATGAACTAAAGTGGGAAAAGTACTGCGGTGTGAACGCGCCTATGGGCCCTTTAATAAACAGTACTGTAAATGCACCAGTGAGTCGAGAGGCTGCTGTTCTCTGTTATATCTGGACAACTCAGATGTTTGAAGGTTGCCCTAAAAACGCATTATAATATTGGATTGACGATGATATGCATGTATACGTATATTTTTTTCTTTTTTTTAATATATATTTGTAGTTATTATTCCTAATTTCCTTTTTATTTTATTAAATTAATATTTTATTTTGTTTATATATATAATTTGGTGTCATATATTATTATTATATTCATTATGCATGACCATATACATGTATACATATATATATATTTTTTTATTTGCTTTGAAAGTCTTCATTTATTACTACTTCATTTATTCATCATTACCATATAGATACAAAAAACTGCATTTGAATTTAAGGACAACGATGGCATGTTTTTTGGTTTTGTTTTACCTATACTGCCAGTGCCAGAGTAGTATAAGTATATATGTATAAACCAAGTCAATACATTTTACAACCCTACATGTATTTAATACCTTTAGTTACTTCACAGATCTGGATGAATAATGTGAAATATAATCAAGTGTTAAATCAGACTTTAGTTCCACCTGGAGTAAATGCTCAAGCTACCCTGCAGTATACAAAGTCATTCAAACTAGCTGCACCTTTACCAGCTTTGAGAACACTTTAATGATCAATCATTATAAAACATATCATATATATTATTCTGAAATGGACCAATCTGCACAATGACTACTTTCACTGTCGCTACTTTAACTATATTTTGATGAGAATACTTTCCTACTTTTACTTGAGGAACATTTTGAATGCAGGACTTTTACTGTAACAGAGTATTCCTACACTCTGGAACTTCTACTTTTAATGTAGTACAAGATCAGAGTCCTTCTACTTTTACTCAAGTACAAGATCTGAGTACTTCTACTTTTACTCAAGTACAAGATCTGAGTACTTCTACTTTTACTCAAGTACAAGATCTGAGTACTTCTACTTTAACTCAAGTACATGATCTGAGTACTTCTCCACCTCTGTTATAATGCAACGTAGTGAAACAAATGTGAGGTTGGATTAACTTGTCTGACGAGCTGCTGCAAGCTGATCATATATACGTCTGAAGTTGTAACACGTGTGTGTGCGCCTCTGGCTGCAGCTAGCAGGATGTGTGTGTGTGTGTGTGTGTGTGTGTGTGTGTGTGTGTGTGTGTGTGTGTGTGTGTGTGTGTGTGTGTGTGTGTGTGTGTGTGTGTGTGTGTGTGTGTGTGTGTGTGTGTGTGTGTGTGTGTGTGTGTGTGTGTGTGTGTGTGTGTGTGTGTGTGTTTACACAGCAACGTAAGGTGGCTCTGCTTTATCACTGTTAAAGGTCAAGGTGACTTTCATTTAGATAGTGGTTGTTTGTTTGCACGTGTCATAAACTTTGGCTATGCTTTTAGTTTTAGTTTTAATCTAAATCCACGCAATTTGTTGTTTCTGCATTGTTGGGTACTGCTAAGCAATTAGTAACCTGCATTTATATTATATAACAGTAGCATATTAGCCCGGCTAATCTCGTCTTTCAGTAATACAGTGAGCTTTTTGTTGTTTGAGGTGTCAAAGTAGCAACGTGCTCTAAACAGTTCCTGTTCTGTGTGTATAAACGTATATAAATAACGTCTTCTGTGGTGTTTAAAACAAGTATCAGCCGATGTGTACAAGGCAAGAGCGGCTTCTATTTATATCCATTTCATAGTTTCATATCCCAGCAGCGATGCAAATTCTTTGTTGCAAAACTTGTTCTAATAAAGGTTCAAACAATTATGCGCATGGGTATTATTCAGAAATAAATTATGATGTAGTATCAGTCTCTTTTTATTGGGCTTTCTTATCAAAGTGCTCTTTGAGTTTCTTAGGGTATATACTGTACTGTATGTCAAGGGTTTTCATTATGATGCTTTTTTGGAGTGTGAAAACAAACCAAAACTGTACCTTGTTAAAAATAAATGTAAGCTTTTCATCAATAACATTCCTTGCACTATTTCTATTCAATTTTATTTGTATTTGCTTGCACTATTGGAGGAGCCTGTGCCCTAAGATTTTCATTGATATATCTACACTGTACAAAAGCCAATAAAATCCTTGAATCTTGAATCCTTAAAGGTGGGGTATGTAATTTTGGAGAAACCAGCTCGAGTGCGCTAGAATTTGAAAGTACACAACCGGAAAAAATCTGCCCCTTCTTTCAGACTTCCTTACAGAGCCCCTCCTCCAACACACACGAACGCGCACATGACCAATGAGGGCACGAGATAAGTTTTGTGCACGAGATGGAAGGTTGACAGGCAGGTAGGCCATCCAGTTATTTTAGCCGGGCCGGCTCAGATGATTGGTCGTGCTTTTTACAGCGCTACGGCTTCCACAGATGACATTTTTTTATGTATTTATTGTCAAAGCATTTAATATATTCATTGCTATCGGGATGTTAACACCATGGAATATAACAAAAAGTGTTTCTGAAATAAATTACATACCCCACCTTTAAGTAGCCTATTCATGACATAAACAAAAGTTCAAAAAAATGTATTTAACTGCGAATAAACAGCTTTAAAAAAACACCCCAAATGCAAAAACTCCTACACAAGCACAGTGGTATATTCCTTTCAATAACAGAGTAACTCCATCCTCCTGCTGCACAAGATTTATATCACAATGAGGAAGTTATTATCTTTTGTCTTGGTTTGAAAGGTAGATTAGGAGCAATTGTGTGTAGCCTATCCCAGAGTTTTACACTGCAGGGAAACGCCTTCTATCACCAATTGGCTTTTGACTCTGTGAGAGAAAACGTGAACTCATGTGTGACCTTTGCTGTGATGGTACTGTACAAATGTGATTGACAGCCTCCTGATAAGTCGTTTTTATTTTAGGGGGGGGGGTTGTTCTTTGTCATGTGATCTGCTGAGTCAAGGTTGTCCGTCTGGTTCCACTGCTAACAGGGTAGCAGGAGTTTTTTTTTGCTTATGTTCACGTACAGGTCTGTATAGAAATAGAAACCGGTATTATTTTTTTGTTCACTCTGTGTTTTATTGGTAGCCTTGGGCTTATATTGTGTGTCATCCAGAGCTCAGTGCTAGGTGAAAACACACACAATGACTTCCATTTGAT